CTTTCACCTCGTTTCGCTTTGCAACCTCCCGTCTTCATTTTCGTTTTCATTTTCGTTTTCTTCCTCTTACTTCGTCTTACGTCGTAACCGAGCAACGATTCTTCGGCCACCAAAGACGCTACACAATTCTCTACGTGGAGAAATGGACCAACGAGAATTGGCGAAAAAGCATAGCGGTTCGAAAATTTCCGGCCAACTCGTTCGTCCATCCGCTGCTCTGATTCCTCCAGCGTCGACTCTCTTCGATTAATTTCGATTAAATAAATGCTAACAACTGAATAAATACTCGCAGAAAATTGCGTTCGAATAAGTTTTCGTAACTGTACAACCACCTTTTGTTTCAGATAATTTACCCCAACAGTCAAATTCGCTTTTGTATAAAATAGAACACACAGAATTTCAAAAGCAGGTTCGTTAAACCACGTTTACATTAGGCGACCACGGTTGAAATGACCAGATCGTTCGATCAAAAATAGAATGGACTGTTTCTGATCGAACGAGTAGAAGTCGTTTCAATTTGATTGACTCTGATCAATTGAAAATAATAAAATAATGCGTATGCTATAATACTATTATCCTGTTTTAATTTTGTCAGGAAAATATCTCGCAAAATGTCGAAATTATGGAAAAGTACTTTGCCAGAAAATTCTACGTTTATACTCGCGTCCAATATAACTTCTTTTAATTTAAGGTTTTAACACGATGTCAAAAACTTACAACTATTTTCGTACACTGTTTTGTTATGAATTTCTAGTGTATCGAAATAAATCTTAGTGATTCATGAAAAAGTGAAATTCGTGTAGGAAATAAAAATATTCTCCGATATGCTGCTCGAAGAAAATATACAAAATACAATCGAGTGTTTCAATAAAATGATTCAATGTGATATCAGTATTTTGTCAAAATATTGAATTTTTTTGATCGTTGCAGTCGATACGATGGAATAATTGTAATCAAGAATTACACGAGAAATTCGTACGAGGAATAACGCATCTACTGAAATAAAAGAAAATTAACGACATGTTTATGATTCGCTAAATTCTACCATATTATTCACAGATATGCGCATCGTTAGTTCCTATCCTTCTCATATCTTTTTCCTAAAGAATTTGTGAGCCTATGTTTTATGTAACATTCTTTCCTTATTTATATTCGTGAAACATGCCGATGCTACGTACTTGGCGGTAAAAAGTCTGGAACACATTGTAAATTATATTGGGCCATTACATACATTCGAAAAGGATCTCTCTACTTTTTATTCTTCGTATTCAATATTTGAAAGTAGGCAGCCACGTAATCAAAATTCTGCGTCCCTTGAATCTCGTAGTTTTAAAAAAGCCGCTTCCCTCGTTTTCGCCAGCGATCCTCTTAATAATTTATCGACTACATGTTGAGAAAAGCAATCCGCGTTCACGCAGAAACTTTCTTTTCCATCATAAATATTTTTCATCTTTTTTCCTTGTTCTGAACGCCATAAAAATCCACGATCATCTACGGTGCTTTATTGGCGTACTGAGTATCTATAATCGTAAACTTGGAAACACGAGGCAACTGCTTTCTTTCGCTTCCATCGCGTTGTAAATACCATTTACGCGATTTCTCTGTTTCCATTTTGCGTCTCTCTATTTTGGACAAATAAATTCGACAAATAAAAGGTTGTTCAACCCGTGCTAATAAAAGAGAAAAAGACGAGATGACGGAAAGAAAAACGTGAAAAACAACAGAAAAATGTCGAGTTATAGGAGGTACGAGCAAAACGAATGCAAAAAGGAAATAAAAGCTTGTGTAATAGAACGAAATCAAAGGCAACGAAGATAAAGAGATGGAGAAGAGAAAGGTATTCGGAAATAGAGAAGTAAACGATATTGGTACAAAGGTCTAGTATGTATTATGCACTTTTCATGAACTAGCGTTCCCAATAAAACTCTTTGCGCCGAACATGGAACGGAAGAATCGGTCTATCGATAGATAGTTATGTATATTCTATGAGATATCGGACGGATCGACGGGACGTAGCCATAAATCTTTCTCTCCATCACGGATAACTGTTCTTCACAGCCACCCACAAAAATATATGTAGAGCGTACATCAAGTATCGAAGGCGTCTCCGGTTCAAGAGACGTCTTTGTCATTCATCGATCATTCCGCTCTTACAATGAAATTTGCAAGTGAAATTCAGCCAGCTAACACGAAACGTTCAATGGATTCGAGCATGTCGCTTCGCCAACAAATGCTAAAAGCAATTCTTTCTTTCTTTCTTTCTAGATTCTACAATTTCATTTTTTTTTTTTTTTTTTAAGATTTTACTACCGTTCGAGGAGTTTTAAAATTAGCGAAAACGAAGATTCTTTTTACAGTGGCTGTCGAAAGTATTGGAACGTCCTTGGATACTTTTTATGCATATATTATACAAAAGATTTTGTGATTTCATTGGAACTGTAACGAGATACGACTGTCACGATTATAGCGATAAAAGTTGAAACGCATTTGAGGAAGTTACGTGTATAGAACTTGCAATGAAAGATGTTAAGAAATTATATGTCTCGACCACCATAAGTGGATTCTACGTCTTCGATTTGGAAATGTTGGAAGAAAGCTGTCGCAAAATTGATCTCGAAGTTCAAGTTTCCATTAGACCATGCGAGAATAGAATTATCTTATACTGAGAATCGTGTGCGTGATATCCATTTCGATTAAACTTTACGTTCAGTAGAATTGTTCAAGATTCCGTAGAACCATGTCATTGGATCGTCACTATTTCATTAGCAGAGTTCTGGTCGAGAATCCTAGATTCGATCGATCGATCGAGAATCACGATCTTTGCATCATTTGATATTCGCAGGAATCCAGGAAACAGTTCAGGGTTGCTTGGCAATCAGTCGCGCGAAGATCATGCATTTAATAGTGTGGTAAATTCGAGATTGGAATTTACGGCCTTGAGGAAGCAGGAATCCACGTGGTAGAGACATAATCGTAAAAATCATGTTGATAATATGTGATAACAATTACTAGATTACAAAAATTTCTTTCACTTATCGAATATTGTAACAAGTATTGTATTTTAAATATCTTATATTTGTTGGTATTTTATGCGAATTTTCTGTATTTTTGCGTTTTCAAATTTCCCATAAATACATACAAGTCTGCTGTCTAGTAATTACTGTGTAATATTAAAGTAGCGTTGATATGACTGTTTTGTCTGAAAATTATTTGTCTTATTGTTAGAAGGCTGGTCATTCTCCTTTTCTTTTGACATAGGTCAAATTACTTACATGTACCTGAAGGTTACTATTAATTTAATATCACTATTTAGTAGAAAAAACAAATGTATTTTGTTATCAAAGGAATAATTGGAGCAATCAATAAGAAGGAAAAGAAACACTGGTGGAAAATCTATCTTTTACTTACAAATAAGTAGCAAATGCTGTTTTGAAATTTCTCGTCGAATATTTTATAATGTATTTTCAAATGGCTATACTAATTATAAATTCAGTATATTGAGTTTCCCATTCAAAGAGAGGCAAATTGAAAATGCATATAAATGTTCAATTATTTTCGCTTGTACCACCACTAAACCACTGACAAAAAACATCGTATCGAATATTTCCAATTTATCATGAATATTTTATATTACTGAAGGCATCAAAAATTGAAATTTTCATTTTTCAACAAAAAGGGGCTAGTTAGCATATTGATGAATATTAATTGAATTTAGTTATGAACAAGTAACGTGTATCTTTTTTTCTAAGTCATTTTTACATACAAGAGTCATTATTTTGTTATTTCCATGAATTACGATTAAGGTACAGCATTAATTTTGAAAATGATTTGTCACTGGAATTTTCAAGGAAACATATTTTCCTATATGTTACGAGTAAAGTTCTACGATTACAGAACAAACTTATAATACATGAGCAAATATTTTGTGGAATATTTTTCATAAAATAAAAAGGTAGTATTTTTCAGCATTGTATACTCAAATGCAAATTCTTATAATGCATTTTCATAATCATTAACATGTATAGAAGTAAATTTTAGGAAAAATAAAGCGTAAAGGAAAAGGATGGTAAATTTTAATTTACTACAATCGATATATTGGAATTTTTGGACCACGTTATATATTTTATCCATGTAAGTGCACAAACAGATGTTAACCATGATGCAGAATACCATCAAATGCAATCACGCGACAGTAGAAATGATTTAAAAATTGAATTTACGCAAGTTCAATTGTAGGAATGTTCGTAAACATAAGTCGTAAAATAACGAAGGTAGGTTGACCCGCCTCTGCCAACTTTCTCATAATTTCTTTTCCACGTATTTCACGATAGTCAAGACCGTTGATTAATGATCAAAGTCAATCCCAAAGGTGTTATACCGTAACGGCTAGGGTAAAATTAAAAAATGAAGAACAAGCAACCAAATATACTGGCAGTTGGTTCAAAGTTTAATTAAATTTTTGGATTATCTTTTGTTTGTCCTCAAGGGGGGCATCAAATAGTTATCCGCAAAATACTTAAGTAATTACAATCGAAGTAAGTTGAGGAGGACAAACGGCGAAACGAAAAAAGCAATGAAACGTTGATGACTGTTTACCTAAATGTGTAATAAGTTATCAAAATGTAAATTATTTGGTAATGCATATGTTAACGAAATGGATATGCAAGGGGAGAAAAGTAATGTGCACTATCACAATGTTTCTCTAAAATATAAGAAACTTATAATTAGTACGTACTTTTGTGTGGCTAGAAAAAAATTGTACTGTGAGAGCGAGGAACCTCATAAAAAGAACAAATGCTTTTTGTATTTGCTACAAAAAGCACAGAAAATATGTAATTTGTATAGGACATGTATATTTTCGTAAGAATTAATATCGAGAAATTAATTAATAAAAAAATTAAATGTATGAACATAAATTGAATCGTATATTAACAAAGATGAAAGATTTACTTGTATATATAATTAACACAAATCTTTTTCTAAATATATTCACTTAAAACATGTTACTTTAAAATGGAAATATTTTATTATTTCGTATTCATGTGTCGGGCTTTCAGATGTATTTCTGCACTTTTTACAAAATTTTTATACTATCTCGCATAGATTCGGTTTCATTTTCAGGGTATCTCTTCCGCAAACTTTGTTCCTCACAGATGAGGATAGGAAATTTAGTGGTATAAAAATGCATACATTGCACGTAATGCACAAAAGTATATAAAATATCCAAAGTAGAATAACTATCGTAATATGTGATTTTTATTCAAATTCCATTCCTTTACGTATTTCCATAAAAATATGAAAATGCACAAAAATTCGCAGTCTAATCATTGTAACCAATATGTTATTATTATAAAACCAATTGAAGGGCTTATATGCGGTTGACGTATATATTCGTCGTTCACTATAAAAACTCACAATTTTAGTAAAAAGTTACATAAATATACTTTCAGTAAAGCTATTATTTATTTTATAAAAAAAAAAGATAAAAAGTTTAATTACTTGATTATTTTCTTTGGTATATCGGTTATGCTCCGTATAATGTATTGCTCTTTATAAATTGAGTTGATTATTATCCCCCATACATCGGATATTCGGAATTGTTTTGTGTACTTTACTTTATTACTTTCTTGGCAATTTTTAAGTTCTTAATAACAATACCTTCTTCCAACGATGAATTGTTAATTTTTCATCGAATAAAAATGTAATCCCTCCTAGTTCTGCTCTACTTTTTTCGTACATTTTATGATAGGAACATTTACTCTGCGTACGACGTGTATACTCGTCATTGCTTGATTTTACCTGTACGTCCCGTAAGGGATTTTTGAAATTAAACTTCGCAGTTAACAGGCTAACGGGAACGATCCTTGTCCATATATATTTGCTCTGTCCTTATCTTTTCCAACAAAAGAAAAGAATACTTCATCATCTTTAACATCTCACCCATATATTTGCCAATGAACACAGGTTTAACACGCATTTGCATCTGTATTACACGAATCAACTAGCGAATGTGACACGTAATAATTAATACAATAGTTAGTAGTTAATACAACGTGTAACAGATGTAGGCGCGCAACGTTGACGGCAGCTTGTTCGAGTACTGAAGCGTAGAAATGTCAAATTGTCATCTACCGAAGTCGTAAGTGTAATAAGACTTTAACATTGAATTCCTACTGCATTGTTTTGTATTATTATGTGAGGCAGTTCCGCGCTGTTTCCATTGTAAGAAGTTTATTTAGCTGTATTTTTCGCCGAGATGACAGGAAGAATCAGTCTACCGATTTGCTTTGTGAATGCATAACGAGAAAGAAAGACAAAACGCACGCCTTTCGTACTAGATCTGTCACAGGCCTAGAATCTTGAACCGGTGTGTTAAAAGTACGGATATTTCGTATTTGAAACTCCTATGGAACAGCGGATTAACTAGTGCATTATTAGTTTGATTTTAGAAATGTATTTTATTTCTATTAATTCTATTATAAATATAAATTCATCATATTAAGGACATAAACATTACCTACCTAAATACCTACTTGGTAACACTTATTGAAAAATTCTAACGAGTTTTATTTTATTTTATATTTTATACTATAAGGTTCATATGAATGAAATAGCAAATATAAAATAACTATAAAATATAAAAGTAGAGAAAAGTATTAAATTTACAATAAATACTAATACGTGTACTGGTATGTACCTACGGCAGTGTAGATTATAATAATTTTAATTTTAATATTAATTTGAATTTTATATGGTTACACTTTATAACATAACAACGTTCGTTCTCAGAATTGTTTCAATCTCACTTGAAACGCGTTTAAGCTATGGCTTTTTATGTCGTTATTTATGTCGTCGGCCGTTATTATCTAATAACCTGTCCTCTAAAAAATACATTAATACACGAAACAAGTAATAATTTTATAGAACAATGCCTTGTGGCTCAGCCACATGTGGTAAAACTTCAAATTAAACGTCAAGCTAAGCTTCAAACCAAATTTATGTAATTTCGTTTTGCACGTTCTGTTCCACATGTGCATTGACGTTATCGCAGTGAATTTTCATTCATTTCGGTGTCCGTGGAACTTTTACAAATGCATTTCTACTACTTCCGCTATCTCAGTAGAAACGTCCAGTAAAACCTTTAACGCATCAATAATTCCTACCTTCATAGTAGAAGACGATAAAACATCTGTTCCTACTCACAATTCCTTCCGTCTTTCTATAATACAATTGCTATTCTATGAAACTGTTATGAAAGAAGAAGTTCTAAAGAACAGTGTTATTATAATGGTAAAGCCAAGAAAATACATAAAGCGTAATGATATCCCAAAAATCGAAGTAAGGGGAAAACCTATTGAAGCACAAAAATGCAACATTACTCATATTTCATAAACAGTCTACCAACTATACTATGTACCGAACAAACCGTTGGAAAGAGAATTGTTCTTTGCGGCCCAGTGCTGCTAAACACCGTAATATAATATAACCTAATATAATATAACATAATAGAATATAATGTAATACAATATAACGTGATATAATAAAACGTAATATAACCCAACATAATATAATACAACGTAATTTAATGTAACGTAATATCATATGATGTGACATATTATAACGTAATAAAATATAACGTGATATTATAGAACGTAATATAATGTAACGTGATACGATACAACGTAATACAGTGTAACATAATATACTATAACATGATATGATACAATATATTATAATATACCGTATTATAATATAATATAATATAATATAATATAATATAATATAACGCAGTATGACGTAACGTAATACCATATAACGTCATATACTATAACGTAATATGACATAATATGATAGAACGTGGTATAATATAAGGTAACATAATACAACGTAATATAATATTACGTATTACAATATAACGAAATATACTATAATGTGATATGATCTAACGTATTATAATATAACGTAACATAATATAATGTAATATAATAGAACGTAATATAATAGAACGTAATATCATATAACGTAACATAGTATAACGTGATACAATATAACGTAATACAACGTAACGTAATATAATATAACATGATATGATATGACGTAATACAATATAACATGGTATAATATAACGTAATATAAAATAACGTAAAATAATATATCGAATATCTTACGATTTAATTAATGGTAAATTAATAGTAAATAAATGTAATTCTTAACTGATAAAAATGTATATCCAATTTTATCGTTCCATTATATATCTGTATCGTATTGCGAAGTAAGGAAATAACAAACATTAGTACCCCAGCTCCATTTCAATAGATCCAATAGTCATTAGCAGAATAAAATTTAAAATATATCTTAAGTTAAGCGTTTTTCAGGCACAAACATCTTAATACTCCTTCGTGGACGATAGAAAAAACAGATTGGTATGACTCCATTTTTGTTCAAGATTTGGGTGATACTCCGTTTACGACACGAAGAGAACATCTCCTCTTTTTTAGAAATTTGAAAATTCTTACCTTGCAACTTGTAAAATTTACAATGCTCGATGCTAAGTGCTCGAAGGCTCCGCTCTAAAGTGAACCACGTGTCGTAAACCTCAATATTCTATGAGAAGGTGACATTGGACAAAGACGTTACGCTACGCTCCCTCGATCACGTACGCACAAGACGCACCACATGCGGGACGTTCACTATATTTCGACAGTTACAGAATTGGAGAAACAAATTCCCATTTCACAGAAAACGTTCACTAAAATACACCCCCTAGACTGACAATTAGAATATAAGCACCGGGCAATTCAAGAGGCAAGAGACTCAGCACACGAACTCACCACCTAGTTGACAGGTCATAACAATTTTAAAAGAATCTTGTAACGCCACCATGACATATGCAGATTATAACCAATCATTGCGTAGCTCTTAGTAGCAAGCCGCGACATCTATTGGCGAAATAAAGAATCTAAGAAGTTGCAACGACATTCGGGCGGTATTGCGTCAAAACGCACAAAAATTATTAAGTATAATCACTAATTATTCCATATACGCTTAATTAGTATTCGCGAGTGAATATATTTTATTGTGCAATTTGGTGTTGCAGTGATAATCAGTGCTTCGTTATTACAGTATTAATTTTCTTATAATAAATTTGAAAAATTCATGTGGTTGAATATGGCTAACGAAAGGATAGCTATAACCTATAATCTCATAAAAATGAAACTTTTTTAACTTTGCTAAGAGTATATTCAGTAACAATAAATGAGTCCATTTCTACGGTAAATGATGGAAGATATATCGTGTTAAATAGTGTGAAATCCCGAGTATTTCAATCTGTGTGCACCAGGAAGATTGACTTGTCCATTAGCGGTTAAATAAAAGGTGTGTTTGTTAACAGCGTATACATTTATATTGGATAGTCGTCGTACATGTAACTATATATAACTGTCTCGTGAACAAGATTATGATGCGTTAATTACTTCTAAACAGAAAATGGCGAGCACTTAAATGTTCATTAAGTATTCACCGTTTTTTCCACATCGTAAAGTTAATGACTGTCATAATAATGAATGCCCTCATAAAAATAGCAAGTTCTCATGTGCATCATAAACTTCCTACTAAAATGTCCTCAACATAGGACAGTCGTTTGAACGTTTCATCTTTCGTATCATATTATAAGTTGTCTGTAATTTAAGTTAGTTGATTTATTTCCTATCTCATGAAAAAGAAACACTACGATTTACAATATCTCTATCGTTAAAAATTTAATTACGCATACAGATTACTATAGTTACATAACATAATGTTGATGTTTTCGATACAGTACACTTTGCTATTGATATGCAGATGACTTTTATTTGATACGCGATTAAATGTGCTGAGACACGTAACCGTAAATCAATCGGGTTAACAGATAATCGTGTGATTGATTTCGATTAGGTATTTCATATGGAAGAGTTTGACTGCCGACAGAGAGAGAAATTGTAGTATGTTGGTGCTAATGCTTGACGATAATGCGGCTTTGCGATAATACCGCTTAACCGGCAATAACGTTATATCGCTGATAATAATACATCGAATATAATAATATTATAATGCTCTGGTAATTTTTCAGTTTCGAATTTCAAATTCTAAAGTACATTCTTGGAAAAGTCAAAAGATGAAAATATTTGTGATTAATCATTTTTACAACGGAAGAATAGAAATTGATGATAGAAATAGAAATTAGAAATAGAAATTTATTTAACTGGTTCAAGCTTAATTTAAACAATTCAATTAATTACTAATTGATAATTTAAGTGGTTTAATTTGAAGCAAACCTTCTAAGAGAACATGAAAAAGGAAAACAGCATAAGGAAATTGTATACATATTAAATGCAATTACCAAAAGAAGTTTCAATAGATATCTTATAAACCAAAAAGAACATAATTCGAACAAAACTATCGTATAACTATTTGACGACCACAGAACGAGATTCTTCTCGCTTACAATCTCTCTCGGTTTTTCTATCTTGTTGGCAATGTGTAAGAATTTTAAGCATACAAGGGACTTTTTAATTAGTGTAATGAAAGCATAAGAGCGTAGAAATCCCGTCACGTAGACTGAAAATAAAGAGAAGGATTCCAAGATTCACTTTTTTCCTTTCATTTCATCTACTGCAAAACTAAGCTTAATTCTGCATAAGTTGCAGTTCTACAAATTCCATATAGGACACGGTATATGCACGAGATATAGTCACTTTAAGTATACAGTGCTAATCATGCTAAAGAGATTACTATATGAATGCAAAAGAAATCTTTAATTCTTTTAA